TCATTTTCACCATCTGTTCAGCAAACAACTCAACCATTAGGACATCGTATATCTGTTCCGAAGCTACTTCTTCTCCTGACGCTGTTTCATAGCCATCCTCCATAGATGCTTCTTCTTCTTCTGCTGTTTCATAACCGTCCCCTAAGGAAGAAAACACCAGGTTATTATTGTTACTCGGTCCTGCAGCTGGATCTTCATTCTCTGATCTCTCAAATGATTCGCCTCTTTTTGGAACTTCAAGATTAGGTAAGTTTCTATTTAGGGTGTAGAACTTCCTTGACTTAGACCGTTCTAGTGCTGCAGCAGGTTCTTGCTCCTCTAAACCGGTTTTCTCTTCAGTCAAGTCTTTTTCACCAATCTCTTCAGTCTCAATATTCAATGTTTCTATCAAATCTTCTTCAGCTGAGTTGTTCCTGAAATGATTGCTGCCTCTTTGTTTGTTAAGTGGGTCGTCTTCCCCATCCACCGGACTCATCTGCATATACCAAAAATAGGATATACTTAGCACACATTTCTAGCATGTATTTCTCTCAAGATCAAAACTTTATAGTGAAAGAAACCAAGTAAATTATTTTCTTTTTTCTTTTTTACCTTGACATCAGTGAGATCAACATGATTTTCTTCAAGGAATGAAATAAAATCCTTAAAATTTTCTTCTGTTGGCTGGTAATGACCGCTGTGAGGCCAAACTGCCTGTTTGGAACGTGAGAAAAGCTTGTTAAATACCTTTCTGAGAGCAGAAAACAAAAGAAAACACGTAAAAGTATATTGCATTGGCTCTGAGAATTTTACCTTGAGCAAGCCACTTTCGACAACTAATCTCCCAGCAGCGATCGTGGCTCCTCCTGCCAAGAAGCTAGAGTGCTGAAATGTTCCCTTCTTCTTCTGGCCAACATACAAGTTCTTAGATGTGCTAAGGACAAAAATCCATTTAGCATCACTATTTTCTCCGGCAGTGTGAAGGAGCTCCTGTGTTTGCTTGTAGAAGAACTTCCCGTCTTCTAGGACAACCTCATAAGCCTTTCTTTCCATCTAGCAAGACATAAAGAAGAAAAGACAGAGATCAGGAGAGTTGAAAGGCATCTTGCTAGCTGGATGGAGAAGACAATAGAAAGATACTCACTGGACCAAGATACTTAATGCACTGCTGTTGAAGTTTTGATCGCGGGCATTTGTCAAGATTCACTTCCTTCCCTTCTCCAATATCCAGCCTGCAATTTTGACAAAGAACACGCATTTTCAATTTCAGCTTCGACAATATAAAAGATAAAACTTAGAAAAGCAAAGGATACTTTGTCTAAGAAAATATTACCAGTAGAAGAAGGGTTCTCTGCATTGACAATGGAGCCATTTAAGATAATAAAAGTGCAGATTATGTCCATACCGATGCCTTGGGTCAATCTGTTTACATATTTAACATAGATTCAGAATTAGTAACACGAAAAAGAAGTAGGAAACCACCATGATTATCATAATGGAATTCACTTACTGCCTCAAGCCAGTGTTGTAATGCAAGTTTTCGAGCTTTATCATTCTTTGACAAACCTTTTCCGACCTGCAGTAACAGAAGAGGAACGTAAGGATCTAAATATAAAGCAAATTATAAAACTAAATACTAGTTGAAACCTCAATCTCCTTGAAAATATACCTTAGCAGCTCTGGTTCTTGCTCTTGACCATCGCGAAATTGCAGTTTCATGTTTCTCAATGTCAAAGTATGAGATGGAACTCCGCTTTAGTTCAGCAAAATCTAAGAGTTTCCACCTATATACGATATACAGTGAAATAATTTTATTAAGAAAAGAATTAAACCACATTAAAGTTCATATAACAATAGGATTAAGCCATTTATGAAACAAAAATCTCACCAGCTTTGCTCTACCAGTACTGCACAATCTGCCAACTTTCGTCTTGTACGGAAACTTTTGTACACTTTCTGCAATTTTATGGCAGCCTCATGTTTCGGGTTGCTAGGATCTAAAACAGGCAATTGCCTAGTCATATCTGCTGAATCATCTGATACTGGGTTTTGGTTAACCATGTCTTTGAATTTTACATCATTTGATGTCACTAGGACGGGTTTTTCTTTATCCAGTTTAGGAGATTTAGCTGAGATCATTGATTCCAATTCACACCCTTTAAAGCTAACAGATCCTTCCAACACCATTTTTCCAGATCCTGATGACTTCAATATTGTTGGCTCTGGATTTCTGCCATTGAAGCTGACAGATCGAACAGGCGTCTTCACATCTTCGTCGCCAAAATTAATTGATTTCACTATCACAGATTCTAACCCATTTTCCGTATCACTATATCTTGCGAATGGACAGGAAAAGGAAATTCCCATTTGACAGAAATAGTAATACTCGCCAGAAATCTACAAGGCCTGGATTCCTGTTGAAAATAT